ATGATGATGGGTCAATCTAACCACTCCCACACACAAATAATTTTCAAAGCAAGCAGAGGTCCAGGCATGAACCTGTATTGATTACCGTATATGTACTGGGCAGATTCAGATAGGAATTATGTTAATTTAACACGTTAAAGAGAGGAAGTGACCACCTTGATTGATGAGCGATCTCCAGTCACTTTGATTATTTGGATCATCATACATCGCTGCAAGCTGTTGATTGACTAAACTGCCACAAGCAAAAACCCAGCAACCTCGTGGTAGCCAGGGGTGAAAAACAGGGCAAATGGAAGAGATGAAAAATGAAAGTCAGAAATGACTCATTGACTCAGTAAAGGCTTTATGGGCTTATTGCCATGGTTTAAGCCCTGAGAAATTTAACATGAGAAAAACAATCTATAGAGTGAATGAAGAGAGAAAACAAAGTAGTGAATCAGAGAGAAATAATGCACCAATAAACTTGCCCAGTCCTCCTTACAACCCTGCAGGAAATTGCTGCTTTTAACTGAGAAGCAGGCTTTGTTTCATCTGCTGTCTGTCCCACAGACAGGAAAAAAAGACTGAGACAGGCAGCCTTCAACCTGGTCACTACTTTTTACGATGGCCTGTGTAGATAAACAGCCAATCTAAATAATCTTTGTTTCACAGACAAATGGAAACAAAATAAATTGCAATTTGAAGGAACCCTGAAAAGGGAAAAGACATGGGTTCTTTTGAAGTAAAATCAGCCATTGAGCATTCTCAAGTTTGGGGAAAAAAAACAAGTGAGGACCTTTTGTGCCCTAGATTTGCACAAATGAAGGAAACTCAAGTGGTCTGCAGTGGTGGTCTGAAAACCTGCATGAAAAACCTTTGTTTAGCAGGTAGAAAGTGGCGTCTCTTCAAACCACAACATTCGGTTAAACCCCCCCCCCCCCCCCCACACACACAGTTGTCATTTCATTGCTGTCTCAAAGTGAGATCTTAAAGGCTTCAGACTTTAGAGATGACAGTTTGACGTCATTATCACCCAGGATGCTGCCTCTTAAACATCCTCCTTAGTTCCTGTTGCTGTAAACGAGTTCTCTGCGCTTTACTGCACAAAAGCAGCTCCACCCGCTCCATGCCTGCTGCTTTCTGAGAGTTTGAAAAACACTTGAAACACCCATGCACCCAATTTAAAGTTAGTGGAGGGTAAAAATACTTGTTACTTTGTCAGAAACTGGCTTGTAGATGAGTTAATTCACAAAGTGTGGGCTGAGAGAGGTGGATTACAAAAAATGTTTTATGTTGTTGATTAAATATTTGCGTCTAAAAAAAAATACTAATGAAAAGTCATAAAACAAAAGCAAAGCTGTTGATTTTTTTTTTAAAATTTACCAATAATAATCCTGCTTATTGATAGGAAAATGGAGAGGTGGCTATCAGCAAGCAAAAAGAGCCATAAACGGGGGAAAAAACTGAAAGAAATTCATCATAACATCACAATAAAACTGTGGCTTGTGATTAAAGTAAATTGGGACACGGCGTACTTAAGTTTAGGAATCGTTGCTGTAGATAAAGAAAGTCTCATCGTCTTATCCTGCAGTGTTGGGATAAAACACCATCTGCATCCCCCAAAGGCTTCTTTAATCCCTCACCTCCTCGGAGGTTTCTGTCAGCGTTGATTAATTAGTTATTTTTGGAGTTGAGGTTACTTAACAGGAGACGGCGTCTGTTTACTTCACTGCTGCTCTTTAACTGTCGCACAAAACAATGTTTAGTAGAAGTGGTAAGATTAAAAAAGAAAGAAAGAAGTAATTCAGCGATGAATAGTGTTGGGCAAGCTGTTTTAAAGACAAAATCTACTTGTTGAATTCAGAAGCATTAAAAACCCTTGTTATTATTGCAGTAACTATGGCAACAACCTTTAGGGGTGCTTGATTAAACTACCAATCAGTTATTTTGGTGCAGTCTCGATTACTGAACATGATTTTTCATTAACTCAACAAAAGATTAATTTTCAAAGCGGATTTTCTTGCACTTCAGCTCTAACTCGAATAAAGAAGTACTGAAGTCACAGGTTCGCAACGCCACTCCCTCAAGAGCAACCGGTGCTCTCCTGGCCTGCAGCTGCTGCACGAAAATTTTAAGAGCAGGTGGTAATCATGAATTTCCCTCTGGCTTTCGTAACCCTTTGATAGATCAGTCGTGTTTGAGATTAAAATCACCCAGCCCTATCATCACTGTGTGTTTAACTGTCAGTTAAGACAAACCTTTAAAGGGTTGTTATACATCTAGAAATTTGATCCTTTATTAGAAAAAGGCGATGGAAGAAAAAAAAAAAGAGCTTAAAGTTTGGAAGGTCTTAAAACATTTTAAATGTCACCTGTTATTTTTCAAAATGTGTAATTTGCAGTCTTAAATAGCAGCAATATTTATATTTGTAGCTAGTAATGATTAGCATGTTAGATTTTAAAAAGGACGAGAAACTTAAATAGTGATCAGTTGATGTTGATTTACTTTCGTTGTATAATTGTTATTATATAGTTATAAAAAATAATTTTGAGTAATTTTTTTAACCCATCCATATGTCCCTTTTCTGCTGCTTATGTGGATCCAGGTGACATGATATAAAAGGAGTACTTTGTTTTAGAGCAGGGCGATATGGCCAAAAATATTTATCACGATATATATTTGAAAATTTGCGATAACGATATAACCGACGATATAATTGATGCAGACAAAATACAACTCCACAACATTACTAGCGCAAAAAGACAACCTTCCATTTATTTTCACTTAAACAAGAAGCTGGTTTTTATGTACATTAAAGCTTTATAAAAATGTAACAGTGCAAATGCAAATTCCTTGCTGAAAGTTTAACCAAAAGGCATTTCCAGTAGAAATGGGCTGACATATCCTGAGCATAACCATGTATAATATCCACTGAAGTTAAAAAGAGGTGCTTTGCAACATTAAACTGCAGTGTGCAGTACGTATTTTTCGGACCATAAGGTGCACGGGATTATAAGGCACATTAAGCGAAACAAAGCAGTCAGATAAATCAAACTTTATTAAACTCATTCTTCTTGCTTCCTCCACTTCTGTACCATTGATTCATTAATGTTGAATTCTCTGGCAGCTGCTCTATTCCCATGTTGTTGCAGTATATTAATGACTAACCTCGTATTGTGGATGGATTATCTCAGTTGTTCTCCTGACTGAAGTTTGGTCCGTTTACAGCATCCTGCCATGCGATTGCATTTGTCTCTAACCATAGGAACCTTCACGTTAACTTTTATAAGTGGAAAAGTGTTAGTGTTCGTCCTCCAGCTTCACTGTTTATGTTATGCTAACATAGCTGTGTCGCTAGCGATCACGTAGCACATCATTATATACCAGCTAGCCCAACTTCAGTAACCCTACAAACGTCACTGCTGTTTAGTTTCCTGTCTTCATTTATGTTGGAAGTGATAGCAGAGCTGTACGTTTGATTTTTTTCAGAAATCTCTCAGTCAGAACATGCTATATCATGCTTAGGTAACTAGCGAAACTAGCGAGCTAACTTCCGCTAGCTTCCTGCTAACTTCTAACTCCGTTAAATGTAATAACTTTTGTTTTCATGGATGCCTGGAAGTTAAACTTTATAGTTACACCTGGTAAAGCAGCAATGCTGATCGTTTTATTAAAGATGAAAGAATTTAGACAGTTTTTAACTCTAAGTGATGCTGCAGTGTTGTTTGACCTGAAGCATACGGAGTTTAGGACCCAGATTACTCCCAGATTTAAGAGCATCTTAGTCCGACAAATACGACAATAACGACGGCCGCTTGCATGTTCTGCAAAAAAATGTGCTTTGTTGTGTATCTGACGGACAAACACCAAACCAGTTCCACATCACTGAAGTTGCACATTTTTGCAAACCAATTCTGGTTCATCTGTTTCACTCAACGATCGGCCATGTGCGTATGAAAACAAAGGCACTGCGCATGCGCGTTTTACTCCCATTCTATCGCGATATTTCATTTTCCTATCGTTGCCTAACATTATACCGGTATTATCGTGAACGGTATAATATGGCCCAGCCCTACTTTGTTTTGCCCTTGTTGGTTTCCCATCATATTGAAGGTGAAAAGAGAATAAATTACCTTCACTCGGATTTTAAAAGCATCTAACAGGTGAAACCCAGCAAGAACTCTTTTTCTTTTGTGTATCTTAAGACACATGAAGCAAAGTTGTCACAGAAGCAAAGTTCACCACAGAGCTGATTCTGTATTTCTCACTGGATTTATTTGATAAATTCGTTTTTAAAGAAACAACAAGCCTCTCACATTTGGACCATGTTGTTTGTATCTTGTTGCCATCTCGGTGGCTCGACTGTGGATGTTGAAGCGTGTCTGATGTTTAGCCAGCTTTCGCTCCTCTTCAGCAACAGCCTGAATATCTTTTGTGCACAGAAGCTCTTCTCCTCCTGTCTCATATTGCTGCCGGCTCTTGTGTATATGTTTACACCTTGATCCAGCTGTCTGCTGCGGTCTTTAAGCTGACCCATTGGCTTTGGTTTGTTGCCACTGAGTTGGTTGTGATTTATTTTCATGACAGTTCAAGGTCATGGGGGGCTGCAGGGTCTTGGTGATGGGTAAGAAGGTGTTGCGCACATTATTCAGTGTCTATCTGTCAGCAGGTTTTGAAGTGTTTAGCTGCGTAGTCCTGATATATGTTTGTTTCATTTGATGTTTGCCCGACATAACAACCTTTGGTACTTGTTTCATTTGCTTAGTGACGCCTGGAAAGTACATTCTGTGTTCAAGCAGCTGTGTTCTGTTTTTTTTTTTTTCTTTTTTCAGGAAAGCAATACTTTTACTGGCCTGAGATCAAAGATGTCAAAGCCTCCAAATTCTCCTGCTCGGTCCCGCTCCAGATCCAGGTCTAGGTCCAGATCCAGGTCCTACTCCAGATCCCACTCTAGAAGCCGCTCAAGATCCAGAAAACGTCGTTACAGGTAAACATTTGACTGAACTTTGGGGTCACAAATATCAGTTTTTACATACTTTGACCTCATAATTAAATAAATAATTGATGGATGGATCGATATCAAAAACAAGGAAAGCATATATTAGGTTGAATATAAATAAATATTTCAGTATGGCTCAGCAGGGTGGCGTTTTTCTGATATGTGCTGCTTGTGCTGGATATTGACACTTATATGACTCCAAATTGACACATTAGGAGGTGCATATGCTTGCTGCCAGCTGAGTCGACTAGTAAGAGTATAATATATAAAGAGCATACTGTAAATGTAGGCTTGCCAAGAGGTCACACATAAATTACGGTATATTAAAAAAAAAAAAGTTGAAGTGAGATGAAATTAAAACTTATAAGATAAAAATATTGAAAATAAGACCACTCTTTCCATTCTGGCTGCCAGATAAGATGAGTTTTAGGTTATCAGAGGCTAAAGAAAATAAAAGAAGAGAGATCCAACAATGAAGAAGATAATAGAATTATTAAGATGAACAAAAACAAAATGGAGTAATTTTAACCCATGAGAATTTAACAATACCTGTCCACAGGAAATTCATATTTGTGTTAGTTAAAGGTGTCTGATTGTTACTAAGTAGCTTCTAAAGTCACACCAATATTTGTCAAAGAGGTGTGGTTTCGTTTTGATGTTAAACATAACTGATAAGCGTATAAGAGGAGCTTTCTTTCATTTAAAAAAAAAAAATTGGCCTGGTGGTGTGAACATTTTACAAGTACTCCTTAAATGGCCATAATTTGTTCAAAATTCAAGTGGTTTCAGAAAGAAGAGAAGATAAGCTTTAGGGGACATCATGGTAACACGACGCATTCACAAGATATATTGTCATACTCAGACACTTGGCGAATAAACTCTCAAACGATGTGTGAATACGATCACTCGAGTGATCACTTGAGTCTTAAGATAGCTGGTATTCTCTTAACTTACTGGTTGTAAGTTAAGAGCTGGTTTTGTTTAGCTGGCTCTTCTCTGCTGTCGAGTAAGTCAACCAGTAAGATTGCGTGTACAGTAATTATTGTCGACAATATCGGGAATAAATAAATGTATTGTGTTAGAGCTCTGACTTAAAAGAGGAGGAAGTGGAAGAAGTGGAGTTGAGTAAGAAGAGAGCGCAATGAGGAAGAAATACATGATAAAATATACAAATGTTAAATGGTCGAATATAATTTAAAAGGGGTGATCTTTAAATTAAAAACGAACTCATAATTAACACTTTACAGCATTTTTTTTAAAACTATATTTCATGTAAAGTTCATCAGATCTCATTTATCCTTCATAATTCTCGGGTATCTGGACTATCACATTAGAAATCCATTGTGGTGTAGAGGGTTAGATGATAGAAGGCTTAGAGGGGAGTGTCTGCCCATTTCTAAAGGAGGTCAAAGCATTCATTTCCAGTAATCTTGCCTAGTTTGACAAACTGGACCTTGTTTGTTTTGGAACATATGATGTTTGGCATATGATGCAAGTAATAGTTGCTGTCATAGATTTTGGCATTTACTATCTAAGGAAAATTCAGTCAAAAATGAGTGCAAGTGGAGTGTATTTGTGTACAAAGGTCTTTGTGGCTTTGGTGTTTACTGAGTACGAAGTAACAAGGAAATGCTCGGCTCGTGTTTCACTAACTATCTGATTCGGCTCATCTTTCAGTGAAGCACTCATGCAAAGGGCTGAGCAGTTTCAGTGAAGATTGTTTCTTCCTAAATTATCTCTCACAAATACAGATGTTTTGCAGCTGCATGTATTTGTGTAGTATGCAGTATTTGCTCAGGTTCACTCTGTGGGTCCTTCATCCTTGACTCAACGCAGCTCATTCTAGGTTTGATTTGCATGATTTGTTTTTAAGCAGTTTGCATCAGCGCACCTTCACTCTAAAAATCTACCGGCGTGCCTTTCTATTTCCAGTCTGCCTGTTTTTGGAGCCAATAAACACATTCAGAGACAGTTGTTAGGTTGTTTTCTTTTTTCTTCTTGCCGTATTGAATATCAATGATTTTTCAAAGCAGGAAATAGAAGATAAGTCACCACTCTTGGCCTTGTTGTTATCTCCCTCCCTTTCTGATGCCTCCTCCCTCTGGGTCTACTCGTTTTTCCGACACATTCATTAAGGCCCTCGTGTGCGAACAAGTGTTGTTTTTTTCCCCGTCTTGTATTTGATGCAGCCGAGTCCACAACAGCTCTGTTTCAATGAAAAGGTCCAAGGGGTAAGCAGAGAAGATTTGTTTTCTTTTTCCAGGAGAGATAATCTGTGTTGCATGAGTAAAAGTTTGACTTTGATTTTATCTGGAATGTGTAGGTGAAGTTCCTTAAGTAATTTTGTTGTTAATGTAACCGTTTGCTGAAATGGAACTCTTTTAATCACGGAGATCTGTAATGTCTGTTTTAGTTTACATGTGAGCAACCTGCTGCTCCTTCCAATCAGGCCACAGTGCTCAGTAACTGAGCTCCTGTTGGAGTGTGCACCTACATTAGGGTCTGTGGACCACTAGGGTCCGTTTTGTAGCCTCGGAGATCCACGAGTGAATAAAGGTTTTGTGTGACATCCGAGTCTCAAAGGTTACCAGAGCAAAAAGACCTGTTCTTGATTTGGGCTCCATCTGCTGGTCAGGCAGCTGAGGTGTTACTCCTGTATTATGAATCAGTATAAATTTAAGCATTTAACTTGGAGGGCTTCAACTTATTGCTTTCGATGTATAGTTTCTGAGTTGATTGTTTTTGGCTTGTAAGATGATGATTGTTGCTTAATTTGTTCAGCAGCAGCCCAAACAAAATATAAAGTTTTAAAGCAGACCAGGAAATAATCACATTAAATAATAATTTGTGCAACGGTGACCGTTTTTCCTGTCTTAGAATGGGACTTTGGGAATGTCTATTTACTGTGTGTGTTGGGATGATTCAGTCCTCCTTTTTTATTCCCTATTTCTCAGACCTTTAGTTTTTATTAACTGGTGAAAGACCTAAACCTCTTTGGTGGATGCCTTTTTTTTTTTTTTTTTTTTTTTTAACGTGCAGGAATAGATGTTTGTTTTCAAAGCTTTTTGTAGCACCCACAGACTACTAATGCACTAAGATTATAAACCTTTAGGTTTTCAGAAGTTTTCATTCAAATCTCGTATCCACATGTCAAGTAGACCCGGTTGAAATGTGTGATACTTTCCTAAGAAGACAACAGTTTGACAGTGATCTTTTTGTGTTTGGTGTTGTGTGAATTACCTGTACTGACTTGTTCTTAATGTTATGAACAGCTTTTCACATGTATCTCCTCTTCTCTCTCCCCCCTCCTTTTATTCAGTTCTAGGTCTCGTTCCCGTTCTCGCTCGCACTCTCCGTCCTATAGAAACTATCCTTCTCGGGACTATCAGAACAACAGAGGTGGCTTCAGAGGTTACAACAGAGGCTACCGTAGGCCGTACCACTACCGAGGTAGAGGCCGAGGCTATTACCAACGCGGCCATTACCAAAACAGAGGTGGAGGAGGTTATGGCTATAAGGGTAATTGGCAGGGTGGTGGTGGTGGTGGAGGAGGAGGAGGCGGCGGCGGTGGTGGCGGCGGTGGCGGCGGCTGGCATGATCGGCATCATGACCAGGACCACCATTCTCACAGCCCCAGGAGGGGCCGCTCACGCTCCCGTACACCCAGGAAGCGCTCGGGCAGCCGGAGCCGCTCCCGCTACTCTGATCGTTCGTCTTCTGGACGATCCCGCCATTCTAGGCGCTCCAGCTACTCCTCTCGGTCCCGCTCCTCATCCCCACGCCACCGCAGCAGCAAGGGAAAGCCCAGCAACAAGGATGCTAAAGACAAGCCAGTTGAAAGTCAGGTTGAGAAGTCTACTCCGGAACCAGATGGCAGCGTCATCGAGAAGGCATCTGGTGGCAAATGGATTGACTACGACGCAAGCCCCAAACCAACCAGCCCAGAGACTAAGAAAGAGGACGCGCCTTCTGGTCCTGAGGTCAAAGGGCCCACCAGTGGTGGCACTATGTGGAAAACCATCAGCAGTGCATCACCTCCAGCAAAGAGCCCCACAAAGTCTGGACAAACGGCCTCGTTCAGCGGATTTGGATTCTTCTCAAAGGATGATGTCAAAACTACAGATAAGACTGTGATCTCTGCTGCCTTCAAAAAGTATGTCCAGTACTTTATTTTAGATATTGAAATGTAATTATATTATTTTCTCTTTTTATTTTTCCTAACAAATCATGAACGTTATTTGTCTTTCAAACATGTTTAGCTTTTTTCAAAGATCCTTGGAAGAATACAGTTTAAAAAGGAATGAAACATAAGACTCCTGATTTTAAGTGAATTGAAAATGTAGCCGGCTGTTTTCTGAGAGGAAGTTGTATGAAATCCCACTTACTTAAGACGATGGTGTTGACGTGAGTATATAACCATGGAAATGTGAGTCATGGTCTGTACTGTTTGCATTGGGGATGGGCTTTTTTTTTCTTCCATAAGGTTGTTTAAGTCAAATGATGACAAGCATCCTGAAATTTGAATTGGCAGGTGATCTCCAAATTTGGTTGTAGTGCTTGTGTTTGTCTGCCTTCAGTCTCTTGAGGAAAGTGAAGGGTAGTTCAAGCTTTTATTTAAAAAAAAACACACTAACTGGGGAATTAAATTAGTGGTCCTGGTTCTTAAAAGCAAATGTAGAAGTGCCTTAAACCTGTTTTAAGGCACTATTTTTCTAAATGGCCAGCAAAGGGTGATGTTTAAGGTTGCAATAGACTTCTGGTTCTATAGAAATATGTGAGAAAACAGCCTCAGCCTCCGTTATTTTGTGGTGACTTTATGATCAACCCTCAGGCCATGCTGTTTAGAATATGAAGCCAATTTGTAAATTATAATAATTTTTGAGTTAGAAAGGACAATTGTTCAGGATTTGCATGTTGGCTCACGAGTAATTAGCCCCAGGTAATTAGCAAATGAGCATGCTGTCAGATCCACCCCTTCACAAACCAGTGGGAGATGCTGCTGTCTAAAACCCTTTAAGCCATTTTTCTTCAGAAAAAGCAAGGTCTGCTGATGGATATTTGAAAATGAAGTCATGAAATTCAGTAATTATAGAGCTCTGAAGGGGCTTAGTAAACAACCTAACTACTAAAGTGGATCTGAAATTAGGTGCTTTAGCTCCTGTCCCTTTAATCGAGGAATTACCTTTTCATATTCTGACCTCAATGACTTTAAACTTTGGCGATGTATATTTGAGCACTGACCATTGTAAAAACAAATGGAGGCAAAAATAAGGCCGTACCGTACCAATATGCTTTTATATTGTAAGCTAAAGACCCTACAATAACAGACTCCACTTTGGTCATGTAAATGGAGAGTCTTTTTTTTCACACATTAAGGTTAATTATGGACTTTGACCATTTATATTTACATTATATATTCTATAGATAGATACAGAAAGAAGGCATACATTTTCATTGCTATGCAGATGACACCCAGCTTTATCTTTTCATGAACTCACACAAGTTAGCTGGACTACAGGAATGTATTAAAAACATTAAGTTTCTGTATGACCTCCAATTTCCTGCTTAGAAGCTGTACAATAACCTCTGATAACTGAGGTTATTGTATGCGACTCTAAAAATCTCTAACCAGATAGTTACTCTGGGTGGCATTAGCTTGGTCCCCAGTAACACTGTGAGGGATGTTGGAGTCGTTTATTAGACAACTAAACAAATGTGTAGGACTGTTATATCTTTGGGCAGTGTATCTAAAATGAGCAATATCCTGTCTCAAAGTGATACTGACAAACTAGCTCATACATTTATTACTTCTAGTCTATTTCTGCCTATAAATACACATTCAGATTCATGATTCTGTTTTATTAAGTGTCATTAAGCGATTTTTCTTTCAGAATAAAAGGTAGTTTCAAGATTATTTGTGATGCACAAGTTTGACAGAAATGAAAATGAAAACATTAAGGAAGGACAGAAGGTTGGGTAACAGGAAAATGTCTAATGTTTCAGTAAATAATCTTTTTACAACCTGGTTTTAAGCATGCCCATCCCCAGTGTGTATTGTACCTTTCACTTTCAGCTTGTTAGAACATGTTGCACTTGTGTGGTCTTGTTTTCCCTCTTGCATTATTCATCCCAGTCTGAAATTATTAATTTAAATCGTATTATTGGTTCACTTGGAGGTGCGGGTGCTAAAGTTCACTTTGAATTTCTCTGTTTCAGGTTTATGGCTGAGAACAAAAACAAAAAGCAGGCAGCTGAAAAGGAGAACAGTCGTGAAAAGGAGCAGATCACCGTAGATAGAGAACAAGAGAAAAGTGGCAAAACTGGAGAGCTCTTCAACCTCTCGTCCTTTGGTGACATCAAGGAAGACAAGACTATGCCTTTCTTTGAGGCTGGAGAAGAAGAGTTCCTCAAATCACACGGGATGAAAGAGAGAGACCTTGAGGAGGATGCTGAGGTAAAACCTACCCTCGTAGCTCGGGACATGTTCGGGAAATGGGGGGACGAGTCAAGCTATTCAACATCTTACCCGTCCATTAAGGAGAAAGTCCGTGTAGACCCCGAAGACATAGACCCCATTGATGATGTGGAGGAGGAGTTGTACCGAAGCCGCAAACATAAGAAAGAGGAGAAGTCCAAGAAGAAGGAGAAGAAAGAAAAGGAGAAGGCCAGAAGGAGTTTGTCCCCACCAACCACTTCAAGAGAGAAAGACCGGCCACTGTTCCCTGGAGCTTTTCCTCCTCGTGAACAATCGCCCGCACCGCGTCTGTTTGCATCAAAAGAAGACTTTGAGCTCAGAATCGCTTCTTTAGATGAACTTCCCAGGTACGTGCAAATAAACTACAAATAAAATGCGACAGCAAACGCGCTCTAGTGTGAACCCTCAAAGCGGCCCGCATGCGCAAAAGAAGACGTCACACACAACGCGCTCTGTTTAGACCCAGACCAAACACTATTGTTTGACTGATGGCCCTTAATATAAAGACTTCGGACTTTACGTTTCCCAATTTTTGCTTTATGTTATTTTGTTATTTACATAATAATGTAATAACCTAATAATTATCCTTATTGCTGTTTTAGAGGAGCGGTGCTTCAAAGGATAGTCAGAATCTGCAGATTGTACAGTACAAATAAAATGTTCACGTTGTCTTCCCAACAGTTTCACTGACATCTACTCTGGATGGCCAGGAAGCGTTCGCGATGTCTTCTCGGGCGCTTCTGCGGAGCTGATAATTGGCGTCTGTCTTGTGTCAGTGATGTAAAAGACGGATTTAATGCGACCTGACCGTTCAAACAGCAGTTGCTTTCTAAAACATCGGATATGTATCGGATTCAGTACCACTTACAAAAGTGACCCAGATCGGATTTGAAAATATCGGATTTGTGCCGTTCACACTGTCACACCATGATCGGATATGGGTCGCATAGGGTCAAAAAAATCAGATTTGATGCGCTTTCACCTGCAGTGTGAACGTAGCCTAATGCTCACGGGCAGTAAAGGTGGCACCAGTAATCTTAAAGCTTAGCTGGACACTTTTCTATTTTTAAGATTTCAAACTACCAAACTAGCAAATCTCTCAATAAGGAAAGAAAGAGATGATTTTTATCGGTGTGACGTTTGCATTTTAAACTTCACAGCTTCTTTAAAAACAAAAAATAGCATCTGTATTTAACACTGATCTCAAAATTTGGTGATTTTAAAAACACAATATTCCAATGCCATTTTTCTTTCTTTCAGACACTTGAAACATGAACAGACTTCCCTAACATTTGTTAGATGTAGTTATTTATTTACTGTTCAAGGAAGTAGTAGACTACCATCTGGTGGACACGCTGTGCATCGTAATTACATGGTTGAGGGGTGTTTCTCTCATCTTTTTTACTCTTGAGTTTTCATTTATCAGCCATTATAAATGCAGATACCAAATAGCAAACATTTCATCATATATTTGTTCAGCATGTTTGCATTAATCTTTGCTCCTTCCTTCCCGTTTGCTCTTAGCTCCTCCCTCTCTAAAGATCGCCACCTGCCCCGGGAGCTGCTGAATGCCACTAAGAAGGATCCGGAATTTCGCTCCATTTTCCAGCACATTCAGTCCACACAGCTCCGCCGCAGCCCGTCTGAGCTGTTCGCTCAGCACATAGTCTCTATTGTGCACTACATCAAAGGTACAGTGTGTTTGCAGCGTCACGTCCGCGCAAAGGTTTGGGCAAACTGATGAGCTCCGACGATTCATTACTTGCATATTAGCGAGTTATCAGCGTTAGTCTTGTGTGTATTTGGAATAATACCTTTCTGTGGTTTGTCTGCAGCTCAACACTTCCACTCCTCTGACATGACTCTAAGTGAGCGCTTTGCCATGTACCAAAGAAAAGCTGCAGAGGCAGAAATGATGAAGCCAAGGAAGAGCCCAGAAATCCACAGGTAGCCTCCAGAAACGACTATCTGATCATTTTTGATTAATTCATCCAAGAATCTCTGTTCTAAAAACTTCCTACAATCACTAATGAGGCTTTTCCCTCGTCTTTTAGGAGAATCGATGTTTCCCCCAGTGCTTTTAAGAGGCACTCTCACCTGTTTGAGGATTTGGAGGAGGCAAGCTACAAGGTGACGAGCCCTTTTGAAATTTGACGTATGTGGAACAAGCAAATCTGAGACAATCCAGAGCAGCAGTGGTTCAGCTTTGTGCTTTTCTTTCAAAGGATGCGTATTTCTAAATCAAAAGAGCCCAATTGTGTTTTATAAGTGCCAAGCAAGCCCCCCAGCCTATGAGATATGGTTATTGATTGGGTATGTACGAACCCAAGCAAAGGCTTAAAGGAAGTGAATTAAGATCCCGAGTCCAAGCCTCTCAAGGGACGATTATCAGTGCCTTTACCTTGTAAGTATTTTTCCTAAAAAGAAAAAAAATCAAGCCACAAAACTGTAAAATTCAGTTTATTTAAATAAGCTACATGCATGCTGCTGGTTTCCACAGATACTTCCACAAATAGCTGTAAGATATAAACATTTTGTTATCATAGTTTTTCTACATTTGTAACAGTTGCAGATTACGGTAACATGTTTCTTGACCACCTGAGGGAACGCAGTGTTTGTATATGTTGTATACAGTGTGGTGCTCTGTGCATTCATTCAAAAATTTCCCATCAGCCCTGTGAACGGCTGCTTTAACTGTTTGCTAAAATCGAATCTCTGCAGGACCCAAGTAAAAAGTTCAAAGGCGACGTGATGGACCTTCGCCTGGATATTGAAAGACGTAAGAGGTTTGCTGGGAAGGAGCGCGACTTCAAGCGTGAAGGGGCCAGGAGCCCGGGAGGCTCCCAGGGACTGAGTAGAGAGAGGTCCTCTGAGAAATCTGGGAAGCACCACAAGAAATCCAAGTTTGTTGTTATTTATTTGACACAGATTCATAACAGCAGTATCAGTATATCCACTGATTCATAACTTAGTTTTAATGACGCACGTCCTTTATTTTTTGTCACCTGCCTTACAGGAAGGGTAAGAAGAAGCGGGATCGCTCTCCTTCCTCTTCTTCCTCCTCATCCTCCCAGTCCCCTTATCCTCCGCCATTCCGAGGCAAAGAATACATGGGGGAAGGGATGGAGCACCCTGAGGAGGGCTTCAGCCACACACGCTATCCACCGCGGGACTACGCTGGCCCTGGTGACCGAGGCCCTCGAGATTATGAGGGCCATGGCATGGAGAGAGGCAGAGGCCGTGGATTTGTAAGTTCCCTTCATCTTTGAATGTCTCCTTGGCTGTTTTTGTTATTGACATGTCATCTTCTTGCGATTTCCTATCCTAATGGCAGTAGACAGTAGACTGCGCTTGTCTGCTCTGTTCCTTCCTCCTAATGCTACGGATCATAATGTGGATGATGACAATAAATGATGATGATGACAGTCTATCATACATATTCCATGCACTACATGGTTTTTATAAAGGTAACGTAGCGCCAGTCAGTGGAAAGTCAGCTCATCACTAAACTCTAATGCCTGTAGTGTGTGTGTGTGTGCGTGTGTGTGCGTGCGTGCGTGTGTGCGCGCGTGCTTGTGCGTGCGCGCGCGCGCGCGTGTGTGTGTGTGTGTGTTTTCTTGTCTCATTGTCACAGGACCTAGTTATAATCTTCTCCTCCATCTCGTTAGATATCAAAGAGTTTGTCTCAAGACTGCGAGTTTCAGTCCTGCCTGTTGTTTTTGCTTTCAGTTCCCCAGAGTCAGAGGAAGAGGTTGGAGCAGGGGAAATTACCCTGGAAACAACAGCAATGGAAACCCTGCCAACATAAATCCTCCAGTGCGGCCGCCTGACGAGGAGTGGGACCCTGAATACACCCCCAAGAGCAGGAAGTACTACCTGGTGAGTCTCTGCAGCTGCTAATTGATTTACTGGTGTATTTGAAATGGAGGACATGCAAGGCCTAAAACGTAGTCCAGTGAACAACAGCTGTTCAGTCAGTGCAAGGCATAATCCAAAATATATACTCACTGCTTTATTAGGTACACCTTTCCAGTATTCAGCTGCACATTCTTTGGCCTTGAGAGCTGCTCTGCTGGATTGTGATTTTGGTGACTTCTGCCGCTGCAGCCCATCTATGTCACGTGCATTCAGCGATGCTCGTTTGCACGTCTTGTGATTGCTTGAGTTATTGTTTTCTTCCTGTCAACTTAACTCACCAAGACCATTCTACTCTGGCATCAACATGACATTTTCATCCAGAGAACTGCAGCTCGCTGGATGTTTTCTGTTTTTCAGACCGTTCTCTGTAAAGAAAATAGTCTGTAGAGACAGTTGTGTGCAGCTTCTTAAACCACCAATAACCATTTAAATTAAAGTCACCTAAATCACTTTTATTCCTTATTCTGATGCTCAGTTTGACCTTCAACAGGTCGTTTTGACTATGTCTAAATGCCTAAGTGCATCGAGTTGCTGCAATGTGATTGGCTGACTAGATAAGTCTTAAAAAGCAGTTGAGGAGGTTTGCCTAACAGAGTGAGTGCTATTCCTACAAAGTTGATTCTGTTGATCTGGATGTCTAATGTTTTTTATTTGTATTTCTTTTTAAGTTTCTGTTTTCAGTTCAGTTTGAGTGAGTTTGCTCGATCCTGTTCAGCTTTTATTGTTTTCAGCGGTTCAGTTGGTTTATAAATATGATGTAGGAGTAATTTTCCAGAAATTCACTGGAGTTTGTCTGAAAATGTTTTAGCTCCTTCAGAAAAGATTTCAGGTGCTTTGGACTTCTTTGATGTTTAAGCGTGTGTGAATGTTGTGGGATAAATAAATCACATCTTTACACTTTCAGCACGATGATCGCGATGGAGAGAAAACCTGGGTTGATAACCGGGGCAGAGGCCGCGGCTCCTTCCCCACTCGCCGAGGCCGCTTCGTGTACCGGAAGGGAGGCAGCAGCCCAAAGTGGACCCACGACATGTATCAGGGAGGAGAGGAGGGGGAGCTGGCAGACGACAGCCTGGAAGTCGACCATAAAGAAGCCAAGGGCGCCGGGGATGCGCCGAGCCTGAAGCAGTAAAGCTCTCGCTCCATCACCTACATGTAGAAGTCCTATCAGAGCGGTTAGTGGTGATGAAGGGGTTAAATTTCTGTTTTCTCCATCTTGCTTCATCTCACGTTTTAACGGTTAACATGTTCAGTGAGTTCTCTGTGTAGAAGCGAAAAGAGGAGCGTAACTGTTACTGTGATTGTTTTTTTTGTTTTGTTTTGGTGTTAAATGGTGAGTTTTGATTTGTGTTTATCGCATCGGCAAAGATTCGAAAAGGTAAAAAATGTTTCCGCGGACACGGCAAAAAAGAAAAGAGATTGTGCCTTAGGAAATAATACGGTCACGTGTCCGTCTGATATGTTTGAAGGTGAAAGCGTGTAGGAGAAATCTGATTAATCTGTTTTGGGGGTTTTTGTTTTGTTTTTTTTAAATGCATGAGACATTTGATTCATACGTTGCTCAACGGGACCAATCGGAGGCAGCTGCCCGGCTCGCTGATTCGCAGACGTGGCGGTCTCCCCGGGCGTTCGTCACTTCTGCTTTCTGAGCTTTTACACGCAGCTCATCAGCAGCTGCTGCGTATTCTCGTTGGTTTGTGGATGTTTCCATAGTAAGACGGATGTGTTTTAGACAGAAAACGCGTGAACATTTTTCCGGCGCCGTCATATCTGTTTAGATAAGAGGCCATGTTTGTCTAGATTTTTAATTAAAATAAAATCAGTAGTGTTACATGACATAATCCATGTATAGAATTAGATCTGAAGCTTTGTAATCCTGCAGTTTTACTTGTGTAAAGAAAAAAAAAAAAAACTAACTGAAGAGAAATGTGAAGATTTGTGGGGAAAAAAAACAAACATGATGTGATGATTTTAAATGGAATCGACCTGAACTAGCAGAACTAGTTTGGCCACATCTCGCCGCGCCCTTCTCGTCCACGTTCGACTGTACATACTGCATGAATCAAACAGGACTGATTTTGTTCGGTCTGATGCTGAAATCTTTTTTACTGTTCAAGAGCTTTGAACTACCCGTCTTTTAATTTTCAATAAATTTTTCTTTGATTCGGGGCATTTTTGTGAGTGTTTTTTCTTTAGAAAAAGAAATAAATGCAGTTTCAAGGGTATATCTTATTACATGTGGGTTACAGATCACGTTGAATATACAAAAACACAAAATCTTCACATAAAGTGTATTATCCTAGAGTTATTTATCGACATCTAAAAACATGTTAAGATTTTTGCATATTTTCATGCCTCTGTGCTAATAAATTCTTGTAATTGCTGTGCATTTAATTAAAAACTATAAGTATTATTCACACGCAGCTAACTCTAAAAGCAGTACAGTAATCAATCTAAAAGAGACATCAATTAAAAACTGCAAAAAGTCTCAAATGACATTATAAAGCTTCTCATTTTTCATGAACACTTTTAACCCGTCCCACCCCCGTCGTTATCGATGGTAACTAACAGCGGTTAAGACTAAATCTCATCTGATATATATATTTTTTGCGTAAATATGTTTATTATAATTTTAAAATTAGGATGCAAGATTTCTGAGCTCATTGAGTGCTGTTTATTTTTGCCTGGAAATTAGCACCACAGTATAATTTGCAGAGTAAATTGTTTTCAGCAACTAAACGAGAAGAATGAGATGGCGCCATCTAGTGGTGAGAGTGGGTCAGCTCCTGAAGAGTGAGGGTGAAACTATGGAACGCACCAAAGAGCAAATGTATTTTTTTGTGGTGACCCTTGTGACAAGGGAGCTCTCAGTGACAGATCTAGGACAGGACCAGAAGGAAAAGACCTGACAGTAGAAATCTTGTCTTAAAAATGTTTTTCAGTAAATGGAGACGAGGGCACAAAATACATCGATTTATAAGAGAGTTATGTGTACTAAAAAGAAAGTGACGTTTGTGGCTATGATTTGATACAAGTTTTGACAAAAAAAAGTGTTGTGTTGCAGCTTTAACAGGTACTTTAGTAGGCTGTTTTTATAATATCTAATGAAACGGTTCCACCTTCTCTCTGCGCATCAGCCTCAGAGCAAGAAAATGTCTTTAAACTGCCATTAACACAAACATCCACAAAAAATTGCTTACTGTGTATTAGGATAAAAACCTGAAATGGATGGGAAATGCTCAAAATCAGTAAAATACAATACAATTACAATACAATTTTATTTATATAGCACATTTAAAAACCCGAAGGCACACCAAAGTGCTTCACAGTAATATGGAGAGTCAACATAAGTCAATAACAGGGTACAAATCGGGCACAAGCACAGACAGGATAGAGGCACTAACAGACCAGGAGAGTTAGATAAATACAAAATATGCTAAGAGGACAAAAACAGCAGTAAAAATAATAAATTTAATAAAATCTAATAAAAGGTTTAAAATTTAAAAGATTTAAAAGGGTATTAACTGGTCGGGAAAGCCAAGTCAAATAGATATGCTTTTAATCTTGATTTAAAGGATTGGATAGAGTCCAAGGCTCGAATAGAAGCAGGGAGGCTATTCCAAAGGTTGGGTGCAGCTGAAGCAAAGGCACGATCGCCTCTGGTCTTCAGTCTAAACTTAGGTTGGGCCAGGAGTAATCGACCTGATGATCTTAATGCACGACAAGGAGTGTACAAATTGAGGAGGTCAGTGAGGTAGCTGGGCGCAATGTTATTCAGGATTTTAAAAGTGAGTAGCAAGATTTTAAACTCAATGCGATATTTGATTGGTAACCAGTGTAGATCAACAAGAGCCGGAGTAATAGGGTCAAATTTTCTAGTGCCAGTAAGAAGGCGAGCCGCAGCATTCTGAACGAGTTGCAGCCTTTGAAGAGAGGCGGCTTGCAAACCACAGTAGAGAGAATTACAATAATCTAACCTGGAGGTCACAAAAGCACGGATACGTTTTTCCAGGTCCCTGTGTGGTATATAATGCTTAGCTTTAGAAATCTGGCGCAGTTGGAAAAAAAACAAACAGATTTAACTACAGATGATACTTGCTTATCGAGCTTAAAGGAGCTATCCAAATAGACACCCAGGTTACGCATATAATCAGAGAGAGAGTTAGCAAGGGGCCCCAGCAGAGCAACAAGCTGGTCTCGAGGAATGTGGCTGTCGAACACCATAACTTTTAGTGTTTTTCTCATTTAAAACGAGAGAATTTTCTGCCAGCCAATCTTTAACCTCTCTCAGGCAATCGTACAGAGAGTTCAGTGGTGCTGCCAAATCATCAGTCAGTTGACAATAGATTTGAATGTCATCAACGTAAAAGGATGAAGAAAAGACCTAAATGAGTACCAGTTGCCAGCTTGTGGAAAGCAGTTTTCCCCCCCATCCTAAAACAATCTCCAGTTCAGGCAGTGCCACTTAAAACATGACAGCTGACAGACACGGGACACAAACTCCCCTGCTGTAGCATAATCGACCTTTTCATGGCGCACGAGAGAAATTCAGCCAGCAAAAAACGAACGGATCTCCTGGGAGTTTACTGGGATCCACTCTGAGACCGTCTGCATTGGTAAAACCTACAGTATTTTAGAGCTAAATGGTTTTATTCATACCTCCAAACAGACACGTCTTTACCAGAGAGAAGGTGCTGTTGCTCAAACTGGGAGGCAGGGAAATGGGCTCGAAAGGTTTCGAATGTCTAAAGACGAGTTCTTTAGAGGTGTGTGAGAAGCTACGTTTTTAGAAGTGACTTTTGGCTGATTTTACTTATAGTTCATTCTCATTAGAATTAACCCAAAAGGATTATCTTCTGATTCATCTTATATGTGCATCTTATCCTAAAACACCAGCTATCAGTTCCCTTTAATGCAGTCCCAGGCAGATTAGCCCCCATTTCAACCTTGACCCATCTGATCTCAACAACTCGCATGATGGTGACCCGTAACGACCCATATGATTACTAGTGGGTCAAAAACCCTTGGGACCGTCTCTAAGTCTCCAATAGTCTCAATCAGTTGCTTTACAAGTGAAGAAGCGTCTTAGACTAAACATAAAACATCTTCACAAACCAAGAAGTCCAGATACCTTTAGCTTAAGGATGTAGTCTAACATGACCTGGGATTACTAAGAGCCTGCATAGACTCATCCTATAGTCATGTAAGAATTCAGAAGGTACCACTAATATATCTATATCTATATATATGTAGTTAATGGGTTCTCAAGACCAACCTGCAGTACCATCATTGCCCACTACAGGGGCCACAGCCTAGCATGAAGCAACCCCAGAGCTGAAAAGCCTGGTAGCCTCTGTGGATTTTCTCCTTTATAATAATCATGAATAGACTGGATTTAATTGTATTTTTCTTACAATCATCTGTCTAGATAACTGAGTTTAAATCAATAAACTCTTCGATGTGTGTGTGCTGTTGGAGTGTTTTGTGGCATTTTAACAGCTTACTGTATGTGACTAATAGTGTGGATGCTGTGGGGTACTGACGATCCCAAAACTGATTGAAGCTTCATAATGTGTGGGAAAATCAGAGGCCTTCTTTTATACTGACTATGTTTTTTTAATCTCCCTTATTTCACATCATTGTGATATGGAAGCTTGTTTCTACCACATAAAGAAATGTTTTTTGCCATCGTCATTTTGGGGTTTTATATCAGCTTTGACTTATTAACTTGAAATGTGCAGATAGAGCAAGATCAGCATATTCTTAACAATTTTTCTTCATTTATTCTTTCTTTCTTTTTAAAAATTGTTTATTCTTCATTTTGGAAAACAGTGACTATAAGACCATTTGTTTATTAAAAAGTGGTTTAGCTTTAATTATTCACATTCCAAAGATGAATACACATGAAGCCAACCTTCCCCCAAAAACAAACACTTGTGCATAAAATCTGTGATAGTCCACATTTATGGAGGCCCAAAGTGTCCGATTTTCCATAATAAATTAAAAATAATGAAATAAAAAAAATTATATGAGGAGATACGCAACATGCAACCCCAAACCTCTAAAATAATTTGGTGTGCGTTTGTTTGTTTATTTTTACTTCACATTTGTAATTTTTCATAATGCCACTACATCTTGACTGAGAAACACTTCAAGCATGAAAAAAAAGCTGATTAAAAATAACTTTTATGAATTTTTAAATGGTTAGCTTGCATACATATTTTCTCTCTTATTATTCAAATTTATTTTTGTAATACTGCAATTTATTTAGGGACTTTAAAAATACTAGTATTTTGTTGTGGGTAGAGTGGATTTTCTTCTAAATTTCATTTTACATGATAAAAGTTAAGTTATTGCAAACTCTTTAATCGGCAAATAATATATATAGTTTTTTAATGTTGCGATTAGTTTGCGTCCATTTTTGTGCCTCCATACAAGGCACGTTTCTCTCCATTGGTTGTCCCTTACAGGTTTTTTTAAAAGCTCAGTCCAAGTCTCTCTTAGTGGTAATGAACTCGTCCAATCGTCCCGGTCCCCGTAACCAGGATGTCCGGCTGCCCGTTCCTCCAGATCTCCCTGACGATTCGCTCCCTCTCCTCCAGCCGTCGAGCCTTCTCCAGCTCCTCGGCCGAGGTGAAAACGTTCAGGCTTCTCAGAGTGCCGTTAGACTGGCTGCTGCGGTCACTCAGAGGACCCACTGTCACTTTAGGGATCTCCGTATCCACCGCCCTCTCCTCTCCTACACTCTCCTCCTCTTCTTCCTCATCCTCCTCCTCTTCACTGGACTCCTTGAGCTGTCTCCTCGATGGAGACGGAGGTGGTTTTCTGTGGCGGCGAGCCCTGCAAGTGATGCCGGCCACCAGGAGGCACAGCGCCATGAAAAGCCCGAAGCAGACGCCCATCATGAAGTAGAGGGCAAAGCTCTCTGGATTGGCTGCACAAGAAGAGGGAAGAAAAACTAATTTACTGAAATAAAAGCATTAAAAAGTGGATTTATTAAGCTTTTCTTTATTTTCTGTCATCTCTATACTGTTAGAGTGGTGGATACTCATATCAAAGACAGCGAAAGTTTCAAATACTCAGATCAGTGTTTTTTTAAAGTAAACCCTGTGAGCCAAAAACTCAGATTTCAGACTCTAAACGCTTGATTTTCACCAGATTTTCTACTCTTGGCTCTTTGTGATGTCACTAAGAAGGGATATCCCTAATATGGCCGCCTCAGGCAGAGCGTTATTAAAGCAAACTATTATGGCTCTAGGTGTGAGCACAAAGGCCCCACCCACTGTTGTTAAACCCTTCTGTTTGCATGAGGCAGCCAATCAGAATGAAGTTTAAAGTATAAAGTTAAATAAAGATTTCTTTGAACTGTAACATGCAGAGTTACTCGTGTAGGAGCGTAGAAAGAAATATTCATGTACAACCTACGTAAAGTCATACAGTGTGGTGTAGCAAGCTGCCTGCGGTTTTATAGATTCATCTAATAACCCCTTGAGGTTGTCCCCAACTCCATGGTGGAAGCCACACTTAAAGCCCTGCTACGATTTTACCTTTGATGTGAGCGTAGGTCGCCATGCTGTTACTCAGCAGCTCCATATCTCTCTTAATTGGCTCCATCTTGGTTCACTGTGGGTTCAGACACGCACCATCTCCTTTTACACGTTTACCTCCTGGATAACCCGAGGCAGATCCTGTCAGAAAAACAAGAAAAACAAATGCTTTCAAAGTCATCTCAAAAGAAAAAAAAGTGTTTTAAGCCTAAAAAATGCATTGCTCCAAAGCACCACCCGTCATTCTTCTGATCTAAATGGGTGTCAGAGGTCAGGAGACATTGTCTTCCTCTGACGACACTCAAGCCAGGCAGAGAGGACGGCAGCGAGAGGTCTGCTGAGACCGATGGGGATGTTTATATTTATGAGAGGGGCGCCTTTCCGGCTACGCAGTTTTTATTTTTTTCCCACAGAAGAAGTGGCATGTCAGGTTTCACATGTTCACTCCAAGAAACTCACACTCGTGATGGGAGACCGGCAGGAAGTGAAAAGGTCGGGTTCACAGAAATGTAGCAGTGAGTTTCTAATTTCTGCCTCTTCCCCAAAACAATGGAGCTGAGAGGAGTTGTGTTTGTTTTGCACACAAGGTTTCACAGCAAGTTATTTTATTATTTAATTGGTATTTATATAAAGTAGGAGCATTTCTCTATTGTTAGCTTGTGATAATCTTTTGGCAGGTGTTAGATTTTAGTAAGTCATTAAACTGGATGTAATATTCTTTTGTTTATTATCTGTCATATGCACTCACTGGCCACTTCTTTAAGTACACTTGTTCAATGCTCTATAACATAAATATCTATTATATATCTAAATGGTCAAGATGACCTGCTTAAGTTCAAACTGAGCATCAAAATGTGGAATAATGGTGATGTGAGTGACTTGGAATGTGTCATCATTGTTGGTGCCAGACTGGTCTGAGTTTCTCAGAAAGTGAAAAAGAGAAAGTATGCAGTGAGCAGCAGCTCTGTGGGCCAAGATGTCTTGTTGATGTCTGAGGTCAAAGGAGGCCAGATTGTTTTGAGCTGATAGGAAGGCCACAGTAACTCAAATAACCATTTGTTACACCAACGTATGCAGAAGAGCATCTCTGAATGTTAAAGCAGTTGGGCTACAACAGCAGAAGACACAGATCCACCTTGGCTTGTATCATGGTGCAATGGTGGCCTTCCCTTAGTGACCACAATGCACTCAACTTCTCATCGCTGCTTCCAGCAAGACAATGCACCATGTCACAAAACTCATGTTCCCTGTACTCGAATGACCTCCACAGTCAGTAGACTGTGATCCAACACAGCACCTCTGAGATGTGGTGGAACAGGAGATTCTCATCGTGGATGTGCAACCAACAAATCTACAGCAGCTGCGTGATGCTGTCATGTCAGTGTGGACCAAAATCTCTGAGAATGTTTCCAGCACCTTATTGAATCTGTGCCACAAAGAATTAATTAAAGTGTACCGTGAGAACACAGAGTACAAACGTGGCAAACACGCCGTTGTCCCTCTTTGCAATGCATTGAGGAAGTAAAGAAGCTGCTCACAGCTGCAAAAACTTAAAACTAATTGTTTTAATGGGGGTTAAACAGCCTCAGGGATGCCTACAAAAACATTAAGAAAAATGGCACCTAAATCTCCGGGAGAGACATTCTGTTTTTTGTTAGAGATGTTTAACAAGTATTTCACTGTTAGCAAATTTAATTATCATTCAAGAGAGTAATCACAAAAAAAAAAAAAAAAAAAAAAAAAAGCAGGTCTCTGTATCTGAGTGTTCCCATAGACTCTGGCTGTGTCCCAATTTAGCGACCGCACGCTTCGAGTACGCATTTTGAGACATATTACGTCACAGCGACCCTACAATGGCTGTCCCTATTCGAAGTGTACTCCAAATGCGCCGTCGATTTCCCAAATATCAAGCGTGGTCAGGTGCATGCTTCGTGGACCCATATATCCCACAAGTCATAGCACAGCGGTGGGTGTGGATAATTTTGCCGCAAAATATGGCAGATGGCAGAATCGGAGCGGCCGAAGAGTAAACCTTCAAAAGTAAGTACTGAATAT